TTGGATGGAAAATTGAGTGGGCAAATGAAGTATAACTGGGTTAAAAGTTTATGGATACGACCGTCTCGACGAGAGGAATCCAACGGTAAGCCACCTACTTGAAACGGAGATCAGACGACTTTCGAATTAGACTAGAAAGAAAACGACAAATTTTATCATGCCATTAATGATCAGTGTACCATTTGCTAATTTTTTCAAATTAATGTTCTAAGGTTGATGTCTGCCAAAAAACTAGACCTTTGTTAGAAAATAAAACTTTGCCTTTAGCAATTTGTATGCTCTAATTATATATCACGAGTTAATTCAAATGATTGTTTATGTAAGTTCACCAAACACCCTCATGTCATGAAGCTATTCATTTCCTATAATTGGTGATTACAACTTTAAATAATTCATATATCTTTGATACATTGTTCTAAAAATGGAAAAAAAAATGCTAATGTCCTATTGTACATTTTAACGGAATTATCCCTCTAAATAAAAATCCAATAAACAATTGCCACGTCAGTTTTGTCCGATTACGAAATCCTCTCAAAATTGAGACGAATAGGATTGTACATGAACAGGGAACAAGCTTAGTATTCTACTTACAATTTTGTTATGGAGCCATTGGATGTCTCGACTTAATTAAAAGGAATTCAAGAATTAGAGCATCTCCAATGGAAATTGTATTGCATAACATGGAGAAAGAAAATTAAAAAATTGTGTCTCCAATAGTTAGTGTTAATTGTTATATCCAGGGGCGAAACTATTCACAAGTTTGGAGTGGCGTCGGCCCCTCCAAAAAAAATAAAAATTTAAACTAGGGGTGCAGGATTTTGCTAGAACTGGAAGATTTTTCTTTGAGCGCATGTTGGGCCCTCCCCGGTTTCATGCGGTACATAGATGGCCGGAGGGGCGCCACTAGTTTTGTCGTGAAATTTTTTTTAAAGGCAAATTGGGTCCTCCCCGAAATGGAATCCTGGTTTCGGGACAAGGAGAACTATAACAGCAACATAATTTTAACAATTTTTTTATTTTTATTATATTTTGAGTTGATTAATTAGCCGACTTGCGGTGTACCGACATGACTCAAAAACTGAGTCGATTATTACCGAAAAATACTTTTATGAAAGTACGGGAAGCAGAAAGTCCGCTGGTGGCATCGATTTATGATTTTGAGGTCCCGACCATTTATTTTGGGTAGCCCGAAGTTGAGAGAAAAATGGCAGTGGCGGTGATTTTATTGTCATTTTCATGTCTAGACTTCGGGTAACCGTCGACCCTTGTTAGGCGTGCTGAAAATT